TTTGCTTTATTAAACTGAAATAGTTTAAACCAATCGAAAATTATATTTAACATTATTATATTAATAATCAAGTGCAATTTAAGTGATATTTGAAAATTAAATAAATGAAAAGAAGGAGGTGGATGTTACAATTTAGTTAGTTGGGACTAGAATCAAATTAGTCAATTACACATACATTTGAAAAGTTTTTTACTATATCACTATCTCACATTGAGAGTTTATGAAACTATTTGAGAGAAGTGTATCTATACAAAACACTATCTCACGTTGAAAGTTTATGAAACTGTTTGAGAAAAGTTCATCTATTAAAGGAATAACATCTAATATTCTTCTATGGGCCTTCGATTGTAGTGCATGAGGTTCATTCATGAAGTAAAAAAATTATAAATTAAAATTGGGAAAACAGTAAAATTGCCACCGATTTAGTGGGTTTTGAACGATTTTTTGTTAGTACTAAATTTTTTTATTTTTCAATTGGCTTGCGTTCCATTAGTCTGAATCATAATAGGATTCCTGATGGTTGTGTTGTGTAGGGCCTCGTTGAGGTTGGCTCCCCAAGCTGTCCGTCTGTTGGAGTTCAAAGTTCTTTGAAAAGATCGAGGTAAGATCAAATGTATCAAGAGTTAACCCTTTTAATATGCAAAAATGGTCAACCACGCTCTATATGTAAGACTGAAGACAGATTACCTTAATTTTCGTTCAACGGGACTATAAAAACCAGTTTCAAAACGATTTTACGAGGAAAACTACAAGTTGAATATGATTCCATCAGAACAAACGGTGCAATGGTTTGGGGGATGGCCGGCCACGTGATCATGTTCCACAAGTTGCAGAGATCTGGACCCGTAGTCACGTGCTAGACCAGTACGTACGGGCCCCAGATAGAAACTGATTCCCTATTCAATCGCATAGCCACAGAAATACTTTTTGGATCTAAAATTAAATAAAAAAATTAACTTAGAAAGTCATTAGATACGTTAAACCCTATTTGATGATTATTATTTAAAAAAATGGAGTTTTAAATAGTCAATTTTGAAGAATGCGTAATTAAAAAGTATAAAAATATTTTGAATTTATGTGTAAAATATTTTATTATGTAATATTATTACACAGATTTTAAACTCTGAAAAGATGTAGTCAGCATGTACAAAAGGACGTTCAACCATTATTTATTATTAGTGATTATTAATGTGGTCGCTTTCTCAACTTTAATTTACATGGAATGAGAACAGACAAGACAAAATGCAGAACTTCAGAAAGTAACATGCAGCCACAAATATAGACTGACAGGTTTAGTACATTTGTACTTTATTACGGATTTCAAATACAACCAACAATGTCTTCTGGTTTTCCTTCAATAAGTTAGCCTAAACCAACTTGTTTTAGGTTCTAAATTTGAATAATTTGACAGAAAAACCTCACGTGACAAGTTTTATAGAATTGTACCACAATATATTGTGTTACTAATGCCTACTAAAAAAAAAAAACCCGATCAAGTTTCAACATAACTTTTTAATTTTATTAATAATTTTTGACGTTTCAAAGTCCATTTTTCTTAGGGGAGGAATAGCAATCTAAAAGGTAGATATGAAGAACACAGCATTAATAATGATGGTGAGATATTTTCTTTCTGAAAGGGGATTCTGTGATGGATTTCAAACTTGTTGAATAAATACCAGAAATATTGGTGAAGATATGATCATTGCATTGTGGGCTAAACAGAAGGTATACAGTTTTATGCAAAAGAGTTGTCAGGTACCCTGTGGCTGAAACTAAAAGAGAAATTAAACCAATGCTTGCTTTTAATAGAGATGGGGAAGGACCAGCTCACAATAGGCAATCCTTGCTCCTTTAATGGTCCCTATATTGATAAATGTTGGTGTGTGTGTGGAGGTTGTATGTGTATATAGCTTGTACACATATTTTTCCCGACTTATCTATTACTTAAACTTTAATAGTCACTTC